TGTTTAAATGCCAAAAACCCGACCACTGTAATCCAACCGTACTCAAAGTGCGTCGACAGAATAAACCTCAACATCGCTACATATTATAATACTCGGTCGCTCTTTACCGAGGAAAGATTCGAAGAAATGAAGGAAGAACTCTCAAAAGTAAATTGGGATATCGTGAGTATTAGAGAAGTAAGAAAAAAGGAAGAGAGTCTTATTAAACTTCCATCAGGCCATTTATGGTACTACAAAGAAGAAGAAGAATCGATAGTCCAAGGTGTCGATTTGTTTTATGTAGAAAATTCAGAATTAAAAGAATTCTTAACTGAATTGTGTCAAACCAAATCTCAACAAGGGTGGTCTACTTAATATCAAAATAAGCGCAAGATATATCCTAAAGATCTATCCTAAAGTCTAAATATTCTACGATCAAATATGCTGTGCAATCAACGAAAATCCTGACCACTTCTTAATAATAGGTGGCGATTTCAACGCCAAAATAGGCACTATGAAAAACCTCTGTGAAATGCTATTGGAAAATTTTGCAAGCGAATGCAAAAATGATAGAGACAAATAACTGTCAACTTTCCTTTTGGAAAATAATCTCTATCAATAAACAGCTTTAAAAAACCCATAGAAGATGGCCATGGGAATGGGCTGTTGATATACCTTGAAAGGCTTGTTGGAATTAGCTTGAGCTAAAAGCCTCCTCACAATTGTAACAACCGTAAGAATTATAACAACATTCGTGGTAGTGGAACTATTTAAGGTCTATTACCGTCCAGAATACTAAAAAATTACACATTTTCAACTTTTTTTTATATTATATATTAAATATGACAATAACTTTTTTTTATATTATTCAACATTTGAAGATTAAAAAATTTGTTTTACATTGTTCCTGCATTTAAAGATTTGTCCAAAAATTACCGCTCCATGGCGGACTTCTTTATCAACCATTTTCCATCCACTCCTGAATGTAGGTCTCTCCCAATTGATTCCAGCTTTCTCTATCTTGCGCCAATCTAATGCACTGTTTGCCTGCCACTGCTCTTGCTTGTTGTCGTCCTTGGTCTCCATTCTAGAATTCTCCGTGTTCACCTGTTGTCACTATATCGGGCTACGTGGCATGCCCAGCGCCATTTCATTTTTGTAATTTCTTCTACAATATCCCTAATCTTCGTTCTACGGCTTATCACGGTGTTTCTAATCTTGTCTCTTAGTGATATTCCAAGCATGATTCGTTCCATTGCTCTTTGCGTTGTTTCTAATTTTTTAGCAGATTTCTTGGTAAGGGCTACCTTCTCCAAGCCGTAGGTACAAACTGGTAGTATGCATGTGTTATACACCTTTTTCTTTAAGTTTACAGAGGAATGGAGGTGTTTTTCAAGATATATGCTAGTTTGCCGAAAGCGCCCCATGCCAGTTGTGTTCTTCTTTTAATTTCAGCATCTTGATTTGGTTTTCCTCGTTTGATAACATGACCTAGATATACATAATGTTCTATTATAGAACATTTTCGATATGGTATGATTTTGTATTGTTATATTTGTCTGGTATCGGCTCAGTATTTTTGTTTTGCTGTAGTTCATTTTTACGCCTACCGCTCCTGCAACTGCATTAAATTATTGTAACATATCATTTAGTTCTTGGATATTATCGGCTATTAAAACTATGTCATCTGCAAATTTCAAGTGGCTAAGTATGATCCGTCGACGTTGATACCTTTATTGTTCCAACAGTTCTTAAAAATTTTAAAAATTTCGGACATTTAAAAAAATTGATTATAGTCAAATTGTGGTACACTATCATAGAGTAAACCAAGACAAACAAAATACGTCAAGGTTACATGATTGGTATCAAACATATACCGATTCCAACTGTCATTATGTCTATCACACGACTCGTTCAGAATCTTCTCACCTCTCACTTCCTCTCATTTCATAAGAATAATCACTGGCTTTAAATATAATTGTTTATAAGCAATAAAACAAAACAATATTTAATTAAATAAAATATGTTTAATGGCTGCCACTACTACAGTAATAAAACATGAGCAGTGCGATAACAATATTAGTCATGTTTTTCTTATGTTGCCATCAGTATAGAAAAAAAATCTTTTACATTTTCAAAAGAAATACCATAGCATGATACAGGTTATACATTCGCAGGCACAATATATATTTCATATACATTTTAATAGTAATATCTATGAAACCCTCCTTTGAGATATCACATAAAAAATTTTGAACTATTTATGGAATTAACGGTTGATCACAACTTCAGGTTTTAAGGCAGGTAAACGGATAGGCAAGGTAAACTGCATATTCGGGAGTCTCCTATTATAATTAGGAGGGAGGCAGTATACGACAATGTTCATCCTGACTTTCCGATCAATTGTGACATACGGAAATATGTCGTGATCAAAGAAAATATGTATATGTTTTTAGATAGAATGTTTTGAACAGAGTAGTAACTAAGTTCTTGTTCATTGGAAATACTCCTTATACTTGTGTGTGGGTTTTCTGTAACTGCCATCAACACACTCATCACACGATCTTTCAATTTTTCAAATGTATCATGTCTAGGTTGCCACCTATCTTGAAACCGTTCTTGATCAATTCTAACTGATAGTAATGAATTTTTATTGCATTCCCCCAATATCCAGATCATATCTACCATTTTTCATCAGTAGTATAATTCATTATTGCTAATTTAAATTGAATTAATTACTGAATTACTAAATCATAATTGTTGCTAATTTACGGTGTACCCCAATACTAAATTAATAAACAATAATGTCAAACTGTCAGTTTCTGACAAATCAATCATGGCCAACTCACAATAATTAGTGGTAAACGTTAAAATATCTACCAAATTAATACTTTGGAATATTAAGATTCATTATTATTATTAGAATAATGGAAAAATAAAAATATCTAGAAAACTGATAACTTAGGTATAGGGAGTACGTCATAAAATTTGAAGTACGATATTAGTACTTTTCGATAGTGATATAAAATATAGGGTGTTCTATTTAAAATTATCAAGAAAATAGTGTACTTGCATTTTGACTTACTCTGTTTTTGATTTAATGAATATTATGAAAACGGATATGTTTTATAATTTTTAAAAATTAATAAAAAACTACAGTTGCAATAGATCAATCTTCTTATACTCCTTTATAACTTTTTAAATACCCGGTATACCATAAAAAAACTTTACATTGTTGTGATGTGGAAGTGAAGCAGATTTCAAATTTAAACTAAAATAAAGGGTGTTCAATTTAAAAAACAAGTTTGGTCTGCCACCATCTTATAGAACACTCTGTAAGATTGTAACTAATTTGAAAATGTGGAGTTAAAGCTGCCTACAATTTTGGTCAATAATTCTTTTTGTAATTTTTACTATAACAGATCTACTGAGCTTCCTCACACTAATCAATCACCCTGTATATATATATATAATATATATATATATATATATATATATATATATATATATATAATATATATATATATATATATATAAATATATATATATATATATATATATATATATATATATTATTTCCAGATTTAGCAGAGAAAAGAGATGAGAGAAAATTCACTCATCGCAGATACCTACGGTATCAAAAGGATTGAGCTCTGGTGGGACTCTTTCCGTATTACCCAGCATATCGAGGTGACTTGATATGCTGGAGTATCTCATAAAAATTTTTGTATACATCTGGACGTAGCGAGGAGTACAGCTTTTTGCATATCCTTATAGAGATGTTCATTTAGACCCAATTGAGTTATATTCTCTAGAAAGTTTTTGGAAATAACACCAGTAGTAGATAGAATAATAGATACTGTCTGGGTACTTTTCATTCTCCATTTTCTTCTAATTTGTATTTGTATTTCTAGATATCTGTACTTGGCGATCTTTTCGTTGTATTTAACACGCAAATTATTGGTGTCAAGTATCGCCACATCAATAAGTATTGTTTGTCTAGTAAGTTTATTAACTAGTATGAGATCCGGTCTATTATGTGCCACTGGTTGGTCTGTGAGCACAGTGCGGTCCCAGTATTGCTTGTAGTTGTCATTGTCAAGCATTCTGTCAGGGACGTATTAATAATAAAGAAGATGGTCGGTTTGGAGAAGTCCCAGTTTGTCAGCAAATATATTTCAGGTAATTTTTAGTTGGTATAACCTGATCCTGTATGGCAAGTAGAAAGTCCTCAGTCTCGGGAAACATCTTTCCTGATGTCAACCAATAGTTCGACGCTGTATTGTCGACATATTCTTGACTGATCTCATTGAGATGTCACTCATGCAGAGGTTTACTCATCTAGGCGCAAATGTTTTCTTGCTTGGTCAGGTGGTTTATGTGCATTTCTTGATCCCTCAGTTTAAGCGGTGTAGTGTCATCTACTGCGCAAATTGCTCGATGTAAAGTAGATGTCTCAGCCTGCACCTGAAAATAAGTTCTTAAATTAGCAACCTGTTTATCCAGTTGCTCACTTATGTCTATAAGTCGTCTTCCCCCTTGATATCGCCTTAATGTTGTTCTCTCTACTGCACTGTGTGGATGGTGTTTTTGCACCTTTGTGAGAAGTGTTCTTAGTTTCCGCTGAAGATTCTTTATACCCGTTTTTCACCACTTTTTAATACCAAATGAATAGCTCAGCGCGGAACAGACGTACGTATTTAATGCCTTAAACACATTTTTACCATTACGATATGACTTATTTAGTTGTCTTACTCTTCGTACGAACTCGGAAGTTAGTTCGGTTTTCATTTGTTTATGGTCAATTTTTCGCGCTTGATTTACTCCGAGATATTTGTACATATCATTTTCCTATCTATATATTATTATCATTATTGTTATTATTATTAGATATTACAATAGTAATCCATTATTCCAAAATTAGTTAGCTATATCGTTATAAGTCAGAAAACAAATTTCACGTTTCATATTTCAATTTATATTTTTAAAACTATCTAACTTTTATCTTTTTTTTTTTTTAGCTACCAGGGAGTTTATTGGGACAAGCGAAATCCTTATTACCAGATTTATCAATCAAACCGACGGTAGAAAATCCACCAGAAAACGGTAATATATTGGACAATGTAGTAAAAGGTGCTAACAATACGTTACTTGGTTTACTTAATACCGGAGCAAATGTATTAAAAACACCTGCCACATTAATAAAAGGAGCTGTCACCACGACAGGCAACACATTGGACGCAACAGCAACAGGTGTTAACAATACCTTGCACAGTTTATTTAATCCCGGCACAAATATATTGCAAGCACCTGGTACTTTACTTAAAGGAGCTGCCGCCACGTCAGGCAAAGCATTGGACACAACAGTGACAGGTGTAAACAATACCTTGCATGATGTATTCAATGCTGGCGCAAATGTATTGCAAGCACCTGGCACGTTTATTAAAGGAGTAGTCCCCTCATCTGGAACCGTAGTGGACACAACAATAACAGGTACTAATGATACATTACACAATATAGTTAATGCAGGGGCAAATATACTGCAAACACCCAGCACGATACTTAAAGGAGTAGTACCCTCACCAGATTCCACCAACATATTGGACTCGGCAGTAACAAATGTTAACAATACCTTACACAATATTTTCAATACTGGGGGTACTATAGTAAAACCGCCTACCAATATTATTAATCAGGTAGTGCCTACATCAAGTACTGGCAACATATTTGATCAAACCATGTCAACCATTAAAACAAATGCTGGCAAATCAATCAACGCGGCTTCGAACATGATTACAAATATTTTATCTCCTACAAGTACCGTAACATCTACAAGTCGCCAATCACACGGTATAGAAACAATCATAGAAGAGGACACTACAAACGTTGCTATCACTGAACCGACATTAATTGACTCCACTACAGAAATATTAACTACAGTTATTCAGCCAAAAACAACAACTATAAAAATAAATGAAGCAGTTTCAACTATACATAATTTTGTCACAAAACCTGTTACCGAGACGGTAACTGAAAAGGTCATTGATGTAGCATCCACATTCACACACGGAATAGGAGGTGGTGTTAAAAACACTACAGACATTATACCTGACGTCATAAATTCAAACAGTAATGCTGGTAGTACATTCTCGAGTAACGTGACATCTACCATATCAACGGTAACAAACAAGATTTTATACAATAATGGCATAGGAAATGACGCTGCTATGAAACCTGAAGAAGAAAAGGAAATAATCATATACATTGTCATCGGAATTGTGATTGGAATTTTAATTCTCGTTGGTGTGACGTCCTGTTACATTTACAAAAAAAAGAGGCACACCAAGACATATACAGCGTATCAAGTTAACCCGTTGAAGGAATTTAGTCGCACCACTGAATAATCCTTGTTGCACTCATGAACATTAACAAATCTGCCCATATATACATTTGGAATATTACCAATATTATTATATAATGTTTAAGCCTTATCTGTAATATAATACCAGAGACTGGGAATCTTTTTATTAAGTCACACAATGAAAAGGCTTATTTTTGTGTTTTATCCATAAATATATGTTTATAAGTGTCTGATTGCATTTATTAAGAATTTGGGACAATTATGATAAACTAAATATAATATATTATTAAGGTATATATTAAAAAAATGTAAAACAACACAAAAATACGAAACCTTTTCTGTACAAATACAGTTTGCAACCAAGACTATTACGTAAGGAAGTAGGCACTTATATTTATTAACTTTTCTGGATCTAAACAACTTACTGCTTCAACAATACATTATTTTATTATATCACCATATAAAGAGCTTATTTCCAATGTGTCTTAGATCCAAAATTTTGATTTTTCGATGTTTTTATTCTATTAAAAATGTTTTTTTCAGGTCTAGAATAAAGTTTTGTACACCAAAACAGCTAATTTACCATTTGAAAATTGTATTTATTTTCAAAACATCTCATCACTCTACTGGTTTTATTTTAAAAGCGTCTTAAATCCGCCTTGCCATCTATGAGCGCATAGAAGTCATGTGACTCATCATGGCTGTTTCCTCGTTTGCTTCTCCTTGATGCGTACAGTAAGCTTCAAGTATGTGTAAAGCCGGAATCAGACAGCTCGTGGAATGGCGCTCTTATCTAGTTCACCACGACAAAGAGGAACACAAAATATATTCAGTAAAAAATAGAGACCACGGATGGCACCCCATGTTAGAGTGAAATTGATAAATATTTACTGTTTTATAACTACCGCAATGAAGCGTGTCCTGTCGAGATCAGGTTTAGGTAAGTTTGGTCCACCAGTATTGCCGGTAAAAATACCGGTGACAAAAAAATTCCAACACAATTTCGTTACACCACTTCATAGTAAAATTAAAACGACATTGACCGCACCTGTCCCTAGTCATGTCGTGGGTTAAGTACGTGCTATAAATCAGCTTGTAAATTTCTTCGAACTGTGCTAATTTACCAACAAACAACTGGAGTGGAAGCGCTAGCCATAAATAGACAGTTTTACCCTTATCCAGTGATCGTAAACCACAAATATTGTGGGTGAAAACGGAATTCCACGTTGGGTTGATCCATGTTTCTATATTTTGTCTTTTTCAGTACGAGAAAGATAAAATATAAAGACGGAAACGAACACAACGTGAAATGCCGTTTTTCTTCTCAATATTTGTGGTTTACGATCCGTGGCATAGGGCAAAACTGTCCATTTAAGGCCGGCGCGTGCTATCCCGTTGTTTGTCGGTAAATCGACTCGGTTCAAAAGATAATCGGAAGCTGATGCACCGCATGTCCAAACCTTCGGACGCGGCTAGGAGAAATGCGGTGTGTTGCAATTCTCACTCTCCACATTCAGCATCGCAAAGGCCCGACTACATTTTGGGGTAGGTCGAGTGCATTTATCAAAAGGCAAATATTTACTAATTTCACAATAACGTGGGGTGCCAATCGCTGTCTCTTTTCTGATCGTTTTTTTTTATGGTTATTTGTATGAATAACGATAATGGCTAGTTTTGAAGAAGAGGTAGTGTCTGTCTCAGGCAAAGATCACATGCATCTGCATAGTGGGCAAAAAAATATAGATATAGCACGTGATCATCAAGATATTAATGACAATACGAAATACGCTAGTGACAAAAATACAAACGAAAAGCTTGTAGACTTAAAGGTGTACGTTGTCAGGCTAACTTGATTACCTATATCAAGAGACTGTAGGAGTTTGAGACAACCTTTTGCAATCCCTAGACAACCCTAGACACTCTTTTACAGTCCTAAATGTAAACTAGAACAAGATTCATTTCATAATCAGTCCCATACACAAGTACAAAAAACACAACGTGTTAGAGGAAAATTAAGTAAAAGGAACAGATAATTATTTATATTCTACTTTGTTCAGAAAAAAGGCGGTACAAATATAAACGTATACTCTACCAATTTCTGCAGCATTTTCAGAATATCGACCAAACGTATTCAACGCCTTGCTGCGTATTGAATAGGAGGCACATACAATCCAAAATGGACTTCAATATAACAGAAAAAAGAGGCCTTAGGACATTTAATTAACAAAGAGAAGTTGAAAGATGTTAAATTACGTTTAAGTAAACTAGGTATTTTCGAACAGCATCTTGCTATGTCATTTTGGCAGACAGTTTTATCAGCTGATACAAGTAATGTTGTTAAAAACTCTAATTCTAATGAAGATGATGTTTGAATAACTTTTAAAAGCTGTTTTGTCTAACACTACTTATAGTAAACTAAGAATAAATATACAGATGTCATTAATTATGCAATATTTGAGTTTATTAATTCAAATTTACCCGATATTAATCATAAATAAATACCTGAAATCCGGGTCATGTGATTTTAAGTTTAGCACTTCCAAAGCCTCCAGATTTTTGTACATCTGTATAAAGATTGCCAATATAATTTGTGAAACATTAGACCTCTTCTAGTTGAAATAGTAATTACTTTCTTTTTTATTAAAAATCTATGATTTCTGAGTTTCACCACTTCATGGATTTAAGACATTTTGGAAATAAGCTCTTCATATACATTTCCATGAGATTTGTCAATATAATAGCTCTTGAACGGTACCTTTCACTTGCTGTGGCTAGATGACATACGCTACGATGCAGACATCAAATTTATATTGCAATAATTAATTTTTTAGCTCTTTTAATTCTGCACATCATAGTCTTCGTTTTTCTTGTTAGCCTTCCACAGTGTTTGGTTGGTTAATCATAATATCTTTTAAAATATATTCAAAAGAGTTCCTTTTATCACATTTATTTGTTTTTTTAAACGCTTTTTTCTATTCGACAGTTCGAATATAGACCTCTCCCACTGCCTTGCATGCTTTTCTGTCTCGTGCCTGACGTTTCCATGTTGGTGCTGCAACACTTTCAATGTCAAATCATCAATGCACCGCATTTGGGGTCTTTCTCGTTATCTATTCGCTCTTTAAGGTGTCCAACTCCCTTCCATCTACCATTCTTGAGGCGTTCGTTCTGTCCAGCACACTTTAATTTTAATGAGGCTGCTTATTCCATAACGTCTTTTACTTTCTCTAATTGACCATTTAGTTTGATGTTCTCGGAGTAAAATGCCGAGCATCTTTCGTTATATGGCTCTTTGACTTTTTCTAAACTTTTCCAAATTTGCTTTGATGAATGTCCATGTGTAAGCTCTATATTTTAGGACAGGAACGAACAAAGAGAACAAACATTTAAATTCTTTGGTTTGAAGTCTCCAAGGTATTTTTTTTATTTTTCAGTACATAAGACAGCTTTCTAAAGGCAGCCCATCCCATTCTTACTCTTCTACCTATTTCTGTTGTCTAGTTTGCTTTATTTGGTTTTACATGTTGATTCAAATAGACGTATTTATCTACTTGTTACACGACGGTTCTCTGCACTGTTATCGCCGGTTTATCATTTTTGTTTGACAAGAGTTTCGTTTTATTGAGGATCATTTTAAGTCCTTTTTGTTGGAATTTCTAGGTAACTCTTCCATTATCCTCTCCAATTCGTTCCAGTCGGACGCTACTATAACTACATAAGCAGCATCACATTTATGGTGGTCGCTATTTGCGCAATGAGAATTGATATTTAATATTTACTTCGATATTTATTAAGTACAAGTCTTAAATGCCTATGGCGAGTGACTTCCAAACTAGTGCTATGATCGTGTAGATTTTATTTCTAAGCGTTCACCTCCATATTCTTTCTAATTTAAGTAACTAAAATAAGTAAGCTGTATGTAATGGTCATTTTATTGCACTTTATTCTTTACGTTTCACTATTCGATTTGCCTTTTTATCCAATCTTTATATTCAGTTTTCTTCTATGAGAAAGTCTCATGATTACCTTCAAGTTTTCCACTAATTTCCGCAGTTTTTAATTTAGAGATATTCCGATCTATATTTTTGCAATTTTTAAACTCGATAATTTCTTGGCGTATACAAGTGACCTACTTGTATATTCTTCTAACCTTTTTGGCTCTTTCATCTTTCAATTAACAAAAAAATTTTGGCGAATAGTCCCCTTCCACCAAAATTAATAGACTTAATATATCATCTTAATAAATACCGCTGACAATTCAATTGTAAAGTATGTATCCAACGATTTTATATTTTTCAAATAACTTATTGCGACATTTTCCCGTTTCCTATATGTTTTTCTTTTTTCAAAAATATGAAAAAAGAATTAGCAATATTTTGAAAAATTACGAAAAAAAAATGTGCAACTGTTTATATACTTAATTAAATTTATATAAAACATATTGTATGTAACATTTAATATCTAAAACAATAACATATTATTATAAAAATATCTATATGAGTTATGTATTAATTTCTTAGGCAAGCTGAAACTTTTGTGATCACTGTAATATATTTTTTAATAACATTTATATCTGCTACAGGTAGTTTTATTTATATGATTACACAAGAAACCAAAGCAGGCTGTTAAGCCGGGTCCAAACTATGTAACAAAACATGTTACATAACAAAGTTGTACAACAAATTTGTTTTGTAACTTGTTATAATATAACATAGCATCCAGACTATATAACTAAAAACAACACAACAAAATGCGCATAACTTTTAGCTGGATGTCTGGTAGGTTAGGCAGTATATAAAATGGCGTCATACATAGATTTTTTGCTCAACTTCGCTTGTACCTGCTTTCACTTCTCCGGCTATTTCAGTCCATGCATCGTGTTTTTTATTTAGGTTTTTCAAATCCTTGAATGTAGTATCCCATAATACTCGTTGTTCCCGAACTAGCTCAATTAAATGTGTAGTCAGTTCTTTCGACCATTCCATCGCGTAAATAATAAATAACCGCATGTGAACAGAGCAAAGAAAAATTTAGCAAAATCACTCAAGAATCAGAATGAACAGGGCGATATGACTACGAGGGTTTCTGCTCGCGTACTATGCCAAAGAAATGTTTCAATAACATGTTTTTAAGTGTAGATCAGTCACGATGCGGTTATAACTTTCTTTGATGTTTACCGACAACTGTTGGATAACATAAAACTTGATATATGTACAGATTAAACGAAATAAATTCGGAACATACGAAATATTATGTATTTCGGCTCAATTCTGCTGTAGGTGGTTGGCCAACAAAAGGTTGTCAAATAATTATATTATACAAATCATGAATATGTTGCTTGTGTGAGTCCATTTCAAATAGGTAAAGAAATAATAAATAAGACTTACTCACAATCAATTTAATTTAACTATCAGACGACCGGTTTCGCTTTCTACAATATGCAAAGCATCCTCAGGTCTCGATACAAAGTTAAACAAATGCTGAAATAATAAAAACCCATATTAGGGTGTTGTCTAATAACGATAAACAAAGTAGGTGTTGTAAATTACAATAATTATGCCAATATTACATGTCTGTGGTTTTATTTAAATGAGTAAGTTTAATAAAAGGTATAAAATTTTTAAAAAGTTTAAACAGACAAGGTAAGGCCCACAAATTGTTATAAAATTGTCTCTTCGATTGTAATAAATTAATAAATGAGCAAATAAATAAATAAAATAAACATTACTTACATGCCGGTACTCTATTAATAGATGGATGGTAGAACATGGTTGAAACTACTTTATATTGTTGAGTGGAGAACTCAATTCTATTATTCCTCAAGAACTTCCCGTTTACTGTCAAACAACTGCAATAATAGAATTGAGTTCTCCATTCAACAATATAAAGTAGTTTCAACCATGTTCTACCATCCATCTATTAATAGAGTACCGGCATGTAAGTTATGTTTATTTTATTTATTTATTTGCTCATTTATTAATTTATTACAATCGAAGAGACAATTTTATAACAATTTGTGGGCCTTACCTTGTCTGTTTAAACTTTTTAAAAATGTTATACCTTTTATTCAACTT